AATAAAAGATTCAATTTCAGGGGTGTTTTGTAAGACATATAAGTGTGCTTGGTCTCGTTGTACTCTTGGAACCTCTATTTGTTGAGAACCACTGCTACCTTTTCCATCCATCTTTCCTGTGTGACGGCATTTTGGAAGATCAATTGATTCTATATTTGACATGTATTCATTGCAAAATTCAACAGCTTCTTCAACTAAATATCGTTCAGCAATGCACCCTCTAGTTGGCTTCTATTCTTTACATACCATTTTAAAATCTTCATATATCGTTCAACGGGATACATCCATCGCATATATGCTGGACCACACAATTTTGTCTCTTCAACCAAGTGAATGGTCAAATGAACCATGATATCAAAGAATGAAGGTAGGAAATACATTTCAAGCTCACATAAAGTTTCAGAGATATGGTTTTGTAATGCTGGTAATCTGGCAGGATCAATCACTTTGCTACATATTGCCTTGAAGAAAAAGCACAGCTTGGTTATTGCAACGTGAACCTTTTTTAGTAAAATAGACCGTATAGCAATAGAAATCAAATTCTCCATCAAGATGTGACAATCATGAGACTTCAACCCTTTTAACATGAGGTCCCTCAAAGAAACGAGACTTTTGATGTTTGATGAATACCCCTCAGGAACCTTAACTGAATAAAGAGCCTAACAAAATCCACGTTTCTCAATTCTAAAAATGGTGCATGTTGTTGGTGGTAAAAATGTGCATTTTTCCTTCTTCACTGGTGCCAAATCATATCTAATTCTCATCTTTACCAAGTCAAGCCTTGCATTCATACCATCTTTTTTTTTCCTTCAATTTTCAACAACATATTGACAAGACTTTCACATACATTTTTCTCAACATGCATAACATCAACAAAGTGTCTTACGTGTAACGATTTTCAATAGGGTAATTCAAAGAAAATTGACATCTTCTTCCAACCTCTAGTAGAAATGTCTTTGGCAAATGATTTCCCAAAAGTTGTTTTGATGTCTTTAACCTCTTCAAAAATTTGTTCTCCACTTTTTGAATATGGACATTGTCGTTCATCACAACTTCCATTAAAGGCTTTCTTCATTTTTCTGAAAGGATGATTTCGTGGCAACACCTATGATGCCCCATGAAGACATTCTTGTGACAGTGTTCAAGTCTGATATAATCTGTATTTTCAAAACATATTGGACATGCATATTGACCCTTTATGCTATAACCAGAAAGATTTTCATAAGCAGGAAAATCATTAATTGTACCATACAACATTGCCTTAAGGATGAAAGATTCATATCTAAACCCATCATATACTTCAATGCCGATTTCCCACAACCGCTTCAAATCTTCAATTAGAGGAGACAAGTAGACATCAATGTCATTTCTAGGTTATTTAGGACCAGAGATTAACAAAGAAAGCATCATATATTTCCCTTTTATGCAATACCATGGAGGCAAGTTATATATTAATAAGATCACAGGCCATGTACTATAAGTACTACTTTGCATGCCATGAGGGTTCATTCCATCAGTTGCCAAAGCAAAGCGTATATTCCTTGTTTATGCTGCAAAGTCTTCATATTCATCATTAAATTTTTTTCACTGTAGAGAATCTGCTGGATGCCTAAGCTTCCCATCTCTAATCCTGCCTTTAGCATGCCAAGTCATCTGCTTTGCACTTTTTGCACTGCAAAATAAGCACCTTAATCTGGGAATTACTAGGAAATACCACATGACCTTTGCAGGTGTAGTTTTTTTCTTTATGTAACGTGACTCATTATACTTTGGACATTGGCTTAGTGATGCATACTCTTTTCAAAACAAAATGCAATCATTAGGACAAGCATGTATCTTCTTATGAGTCAATCCAATGGAAGCAAGTACTTGTTTAGCATCATATGTTCTCGTAGGTAGCATCTTATTTAATAAAGTTAGTAATTCTGTGAAGCTTTATAAGTCCATCCATTCATTGCTTTGAGATTATAAAGCTTTAACACAGAACTTAATCTCGTGAACTTTCTGCATCCATTGTACAACGGTTTTTCCGCATCATCTTTTAGCCTCTCAAACATCTTTGGACAATCTCTAAGTTCTTCTTCAACAACATTTGGAATGTCTTCAACATTATCAAATTCATATGTTTTTCATGTCTCTGAGTAATAGAGACTTGATTCCATGTGATGTGATGTACTTTCACCTTGTATCTTACCGTGCTTTGTCCAACAGGTATATTTTTCATCAATCCCATTGCACATTAAATGTTCTTCTAATTCTTTTGCATTTACTTGCATCATATTCAAACAACACCAACAAGGGCATGGAATAAGGTTGACATCAGTTGCATGCTTAATCGCAAATCTAAGAAAATCCTTCACTCCATCTTCATATTCTTCACTCAAATGATCAGCAACCATCCAACTTTGGTCCATATTTGCTCTAACTATGGGTGACCCAAAGCAAATGTGATTGTCTTATTAAGTCTCACATAGTAGGGTCCTATCCCATTTGGAAACAAAGTTTTTCATACCTTAATTAACAATTGTTGCTTAAATGTGTTATTTTATATTTGACAAAATTTTGGCAACATTTCGCATTAGTCTCTTAGTACACAACTTTAATTGAGATGATTTACCTCAATCAAGCACGCACCAAGAGACAATGACAAATGCATTGTACCAAACTTTTGTTAAGAATTAAATATAACATTATAAAACAGCATTTGCTAACCACTGAATGAATAACTTTGTTCATAAACTGTCCAACTTGGACAATTTAAGATTGAAAATAATGATTTTTTCAATCATTATTTTGAACCTCAAACGGGAAACTAAAGTTTCACTCAATTTCAGATTTCAAAGCATAATTTCTAACAACATAACATCAACAATAATCATGCATTCAGAACATTTCATTAGCCATAACATTAAAAAAAGAAACAATCTTATTTCATCACTCAAACAAAGCATGGCATTTCACTTGCTATATTCCAAGTCTGGTATGCAATTTGAGGCCAGGTTTCATGAATTTATTCGAGGTCTAAAACTGCATTATAAAATTATGTAGGACCATTAAATACGATAATGTTTATTCACTAGACCACTAAAATTATGTAAGACCACTATACCACTAAACTGCATTATAAAATTATGTAAGGCCAGGTTTATTCACTAGACCAATTCTACTCCTATTCCAAAATCAAATTATCTCATTTTGTTGATGTTGATTTTGTTGTAAATATCAATTTTCTATCTCATTTTCTTCTTCTTTACTCTTTATTTTTTCTTTTTTGGGCCAGTTCTCGTCCTCTACTCCATTATGCATAACAAATATTCTCTAAAGTTCCACATGGCTTAAACTACACTTTTACTGACTAAAAAACAAATTTCAAGCCCACTATGTAAGGCATCAATATTCAAAAAACACAAAAAAAAAAAAAAAATAATCTCACTAACCTTGAAATTACGTTGGGTTGCAGTTATGTTGGAGAGAACCAAAATGATAAACGAAAACACAGAGAACCAGAAATGGCGGACGAGACGTTTTTGTAACTATTAACCTAAAAATAAAATGCCCTCTAGTCAACACAGAGAACCAAAATTCTAAACGAAAGCGATTAAGACATAAACGATGAAGAAAATACCTTCTCAGTGCCAATGTGCAGTCAACGGTGGTTGTTCTCCAATGCAAAAGCCTCAACAAACAAAGAAATTTGGAAATACAGAGTAAGCGCGAGGACAATGAAGACGGAATTTGGGGGTTAGGGTTGAGTTTGAAATTCAACTTTAGAGAGCGATTAATTGTTAACCACTCTCTAATATACCCCTTCTTAAAGCGGTTAATGCGCCAACCGCTCTGTAATCTTTATAAGCACGGTTCCACGTGTTAATCGCCCTCTGAAATATGGATCTTCTGAAAGCGGTTACTAAGTGGCCGCTCTCCAAGATAACTTAAGAAAGCGGTTAAATTTGAACCGCTCTGATAATTGTATTTTAGAGAGCGGTTCCTTTACAACAGCTCTCAAAATAGTACATTATAGAGCGGTTCATCCTGAACCGCTCTCAATGGTTTAAATTGGAGAGCGGTTGAGTGCTAACCGCTCTTTTTGTCTCTTACACAAAGCGGTTTTCACTAACCGCCTGCAAAAGTTCATTTTTGGCGTAGATATGTTTGGGGAAGAGTTATTAGAAGAAAAGAGAAAAGATGACATGTTTTTTAATTTTAAATTAAAAGAATTATATATTATTTATGATGACAAATATATTATTAATATATTAAATTTATGTTAACATATTAATTTATATTTTTAATTTTTTTAAAAATATTAATTTTAAATATATTAATTTAAAATATAAATTTTGTCCTTCTCTTTAAAATCTTCCTTCTTAAACAATCTTTAATATATTTGTTTCAGCTTATCTTTTATTTTTATTTTATTTTATTTTGATCATGTTAACTAAATCTAAAATAGAAATCTCTCTCTCTCTCTCTCTATATATATATATATATATATATAGTTAAGAAGCAAGTACACACAACTTAAATTTTAATGGACTAATTAACTTACATTTTTTAGGAATAATTTTGAAAAAAAATCATTAATTATATAACTGAGTTTGTCAACCTTTTTTTTATATTAATAAATTGATATCGAGTTAATTTTATGAATCTATTCAGGTCAACATGATCAAGTTAGACCTTTATACTATTGTATTGTTAGGATCACCAGTCCCTTCAAAAGCTAAAAGTAATGAATATATATATTCTTATGATACTTCTCAATTAATGGAAGATGCATTTACTCGTTATTTTTCACACCAAGAGCAATTAGTAATCCCCGTCCAGTACACATTTCACAAGTAGAAGTTACTGTGAACTAAATGTTGCTTGATCTTCATTTTAAATTTCCTCACACAACATTTTATTGATCATATAAAACACTTGTTATTTTGCAACAGTTGCATAGCTCCTTCATTTAATGAATAACAAAAAAATAAAAAGCAAATATAACAATATCCAGTAGGACAAGATGCATCCTAGTAGTTGACCTGCTTTGTGGTTGAGACATTAAGATCCAAATAACCTGAAAGGAAGTAAGTACTTTTTAAGTATACATTATACACAACTTAGGATCATGATCTAATTCAAGACTATATATATAATTAACCTAACCTTTGCAATCTGGACTGTGAACGTCTGGTACAACAAACCAAGAAGATAAGGAAAAATATGTTAGCATGGATCAAGTGGCAAACCATTTTCTTAAATGCACAAAAGTGCATGCTAACCTAGAAATATGAAAGTAGAAATTTGGCAAATTTAAAAGCATCTCATAGTTACCAATTAAATCCCTTAAGGGTAAAGACACTAATCCAACATTTTAATTATCTTCAATATTTTTTTTCCCATCACAAAGATGAAAAATTATTTATTGGTTGAGGGACATACTTCGAGCTATGTTGTCTGAAACTCGCTGGCTTGCTGACAGGTTGTTGAGGTTCATCACTTGGAAGAGGTACAGTCTTAACCTGAGACATTCACATATCAGAAGTGTTAACCATTTCAAAAACACATAATACAACAATTGGTTCATTTGTATAGTAAACCAAATATTAACATACCAAATTTTTTAATATAAGATTATAGAACATATGAATGTATCTCTGCTTTGCCTCTTTTTGCTCCGTATTCACTTGTCTCCAAAAGGTATAAATGTTCCCCATATTTACCAACTTATTTGCATAAATCTTCCAGGTATAGCTATAAGACAAATACATAAACAAGTTTGAAATTTAACTTCCAACTGACACATAATAAAAGGAAATTTTGTAATGAAACAAATGTGTAACATATATGTTGAGAAATAACAGTACTAGCTAGAACTAATGCAGTAATATGATATTTTGGTTACCATTCATTTATGCGCTGCAATCCAGCTGTAGAAATCACATTCCAATATGATGGATCCACTTTGCATTTTTCAAAGAAATCAGCAATTTTGGTGCTTGATTCATCTCCATTGAGGGGATCAATGTGGAAGCCAGAGACCCCATCAACAATAATTTCAGCTGGACCTCCTTGGTTGGTAGCAAAAGTGGGCAAGCCACAGTTCATTGCTTCAATAACAGTTAATCCAAATGCTTCATACAAAGCAGGTTGAACAAATGCTCCCCTTGTGTCAGCAATACAACGGTATAGTTCTCCATTGCGATATCTATTAGTTTGTGCAGCAATCCATCTGAATTGACCCTTAAGTTGGTACTTATCAACTAAGTCATGCATCTTTTTAATTTCTGACATTTCCTCCCTATCTTTCGATTTTGAAGGGTCAAAGAAGCCTCCTACTATGACAAGGTTCACCAAGTTTCTTAGTCTCTTGTTCTTTGCATACCATTCAACTAACCCGGTTAAGTTCTTCACAACATCAAGCCTTGCCATTGAGAAAATGATTGGCTTCCTCCTCTCTGCTAGATATCCACTGTTTTCATCAAAGTTTCAAAAGTGAAAATCATTCATTTAGAAAAATTTAGTATTTCATAACTAAGACTCGGTTTGGATAAACTTCTCAACAAGTACCTATTGGATGGAGACCAATAGTAAGTAGTAAAATGAATTAAACTCCTCTTATAAGATAAAATCAACTTATATTTATCTATTTAGAAACTTTGTCATTTAACTTCTCAAAAACTTGAAGAGTATAAGTTACTTTTAACTTGTGAGAGAAATTTTATTCATTTTTCATATTAATTTCTTTCTCTGACAAGTACGTACCTAAAATTTTATTCAAACTTGGCGAAAATGTTACTATGCAAGACTGCAACTAAGTTACTTACATATGCTCAATGTTATCCACTTTACTAAAGAGAAGGTCTTCAATGACAGGGTGAAATTGAGAGAGTCTTTTTTCTTTCTCTGTGTAGGGGAAATAAACGGACTGATCAGCACCTGGTGCAGCTATGTTGAACTTCGGGTCAAAGACATTTATCCCTGAAACAACTCTACATAGCCCTGGGAGTGTAAATGCAGCATGGCTTTCATATTGCCCAGGTCTATCTTTGCTGCCAAAGTGAACCTTCAAAATTCAGTTTTCATTTTTGGGTATTGTTTTAATCTCATATTCTCATGTTTATGTGTATATAAGGCTATTTGAACAAACCTTCCTGCAACTTCCTGATATGTGCTGGTTATGATGAAATCAGCTGCATTCATTGCCACTGTATCAGCCATGAATTGACATGAGAAATGATACTTGGGGTCCAAATCTTTCCACTTCACATCTGAGTCCTCATACTTAGTCTTCTCTAAAGCATGTGCTATAGTTCCCTGGTTTTCAATCACCTTATGGAATTAGTACATGTGGCAAAGAAACATCCATGCAAGTATGCAACCACATAAACTGTTGAAAGAAAAACTTAAATAGAGAAAGGGATAGTAACCACAGACCAGAGTTACTCCAAGTTTTTTAGCCATGAGTGATGCTACCAGATTTCCATCTGTGTAATTTCCAATAACAAGATCTGGTTTCCCTTCCATGAAGTCTAAAATCTTGGCTGTTGCATCCTAATAATATGAACCAAAGTGTTTGTCATAAGGAAAGTTCACAAGAGAGGAAAAAGTAGATACCTAGTAAAAAAATCTTGAAGCTAGTATACAAACCTGAGTAAACCTCTCAAGATAAGGGTAAATGTCAAAGCGAGAAACCCATTGACGTAGGATTCCTTTATCTGTATAAAAAGGCACGCGTAGAATGTGGGAGTGTTTGGTATCATTGATTGGTTCCAACTCCTGATGGCACTTGGTTCCCCTAGCATCAGGTATCAACCTTGTTACCTGTGAAGGTCAAGAATAGACTCACATAATTCCAGTAAGTTTAGATATATGTAGAAAGAGACCATTCATCATTCCTTTGCAAGAAACTCACCACAACAATTTGAGGTTTAAAATTTAGCCCTTGTTGCTTGATTCTAAGTAGCAACTCTGCTTCCAGAGCCTTGACTTGGTCCAATATGTAAACCACCTATTGTTTAGGCAAAGGATGTTACAAATGAAAGCCTTGTTGAGCCATAACTTAACAAACATTAGTTTTTTTAATAGAAATGTGTACTTAAAATGATATTAAAAAGCTAAATTGAACATACCATACAATGAAATTTCTTTGTAACATCCATCCTTTACATTAAATTAATTGTTCCAAATGGTGAGAATTTTACCTGGCCACCAGTGTCTGGCAAGCCAAGGACATCTGCTTGTCCAAAATAACCATGAACTGAGAAGATAACTACATTGAATATTATTGGAATCCTACTGAAAAATTTCTCCAAGTTTGTTGGGTCTGGTGCTTGAAGTACTTCAGATAGAGTTAGCATTGTTTCTTTCACTCTTCCTGCAGTATCTCCCCATCCTCTCTCAAACCCCCACTCCTTCAACCTATCAATGAAATTGGTATTGGGTTACAACTTACAACATATTCAACCTCTCTAATAGAAAAATATGAACTCTTTACCTTGGCTCAAAATTCTGATATGCAGTGTCTTTGGGAAGTGATGAGAGTAATACATCAGCCACTACCAATGCCATTTGAAGCTTTGCAGCAGACTTGAGGGTGTCATTTATCATTAGGCTCTGCCAGTGTACATGAAAAAATGAAATATAAATATTGAAATATGTAAATTGTGGGTAGCTATAATGTTTATGAATTAATTTCATGTGCTTCTCCTTACTTCGCCCTGATGGTTTAATGTTACCAAGTAGTCTACGATAGCCTGTGTTTTCTGCAATTTCCCAGTTAACTTTGAAGTTAAGAATTTAGAAACAAATTGGAGTCCATTTCCAATTGAAGATGAGAGAGTTAATTGAGGAATTTGAAAATCAAATGCTCCAAAGTCTGCTTCAAATGAGTTTTCATCGGTCGCCCTGCAATATAGAGCCAAGTTATGCATCAAAACTGAAGTCAAAGTGAATTTTTTTTTTTTTTTTTTTGTATTGTAGGAATAGAAAATGCAACAGATTTTCATATGGTATGGTACAAACTTCAAAGTTTGAACATTTTTATGATATATTTTTTTATCTCTCTTTTTTTACAACTCGTTTCTTACATCAGTTACATGGACATCTATTCGTTCGTAGGACCTAAATTAATAAAAATAATGAATCTCCATGAAATCCAAAAAAGGTGTAATAGAATCATTTTCAATTTGCATACTAACCAATGTATCGTTCTGCAGACACTTAACTTTAGACATCTTTTGTGCCAAATAACTCGACGCCAAATAAAATGCAATTGGATAATTATTAATTAAATGCAAAAAGAAAAATTACAAATTAAGTAGAATTGCTTGAACTTCGTAAAAGTTTAGACTGTTTGTTTTTTAAAAATACTAGCAACACATTTTGATACAATTTTTATTGAATAAAAAAGAACGTATTGCTAATATTGTTCTTTATTTTTCATTAAAATTTATACATTCTAAAATATAACTTGCATTTTAGCGAATCATACCTTTAATGACAATTTTTATGAAAATTCAGCTGATTTAGTTGGCTAATGGTTACTGCTATCATTTTCTTTCTTTCCTTTACACGGAGTGGTGGTATTCTATAGTTGGAAGAAATGTTATGTAGTTGGAAGAAAAATATATTAATATATCTTTTGTTATTATTTTAAAAAAAAATTATTATTGAACAAAATCTCGTGAAAAAATGAATTCAAATAGTTCTGGAAACCTAAATAAAATTTTTCTGCGGGTTAAAAGAGATATTTTAAGAAATTGCTAGTGCTCATTGTAAAAGAAGAATAATAGCTGAGTTCTTTTTTGGTCCATTAATGTAACAAAAGAAAATGTTACTTAGAAAGTTGATAACTCAGGAAAGTTGTTGATTAGAAAGTTACTTGGAAAAATCAAAGACAAGCTTAGTAAGGGGAAAATGAATAGAAATGACGTACCAATTTTCGTCATATACCCTTTCCTTGAATTTGAGGTAGTCAGTGGGAGTGATAGTCTCAACAGAGAGGTCCTCAGAACTCACTCTTACAAATTCCCAAACTCCTGGATTAGGCCTTATTGCAAAGGCAACATATGGTGGATCTACAACAGCTTCCTACAAGTTGCATGTGTGCACACCATTCAAATCTAAAGCCAGCATTTGTATCATGTATGCATGTATATAAGGTGAAGAATAACCCTTTTTATAAATTCTTTTCTGAAGTGTCTTTAATTATATTAATAATATAGATCAATAAAAACAATTAAGGTTAATTAGTTTTACTTTTATAAAAAAAAGTATCATAAAATATTAATTTTATTCCGTTAGATATAATTGATCTTAATCTCACAATTAATATTTATCCTTTTCATTTTTAATTATAAAATACTTTATAATTAAAAATACTAAAACTTTTTAAACAGTGACTTGTGAAAAAAGATGAGGAAGTATCAAAGAACCTGTGTAGAGCTCAATATGAATCCAAGAATGCCCTCCAAAACTTGGTTTCTTTCACTTTTGTCCTCTATTACTTGGTCCATTTCTTCCATCAAATGATGAAGTTTCATAATCCTTCTCCCCTTCTCAATGTACTTAGCAAAGCACCTCTTCATATGATACCGACTCTGCCTCAATGCTTCCGGCATATTATCCACTACAGAATTTGTGCGCTTTAAGGATGGTGCTGAAGCCATTTCAACAAAGACAAAGTAAAAGGTTAATTAAGCTTGTGAAATCTGATGGTCTTGATTGCCAGTCAAATGGGACATGCCACAATTTATATGCATAGATATCTATGCATAAGAGTTGGAGAAGGAATATTTGCTGAGGGAAGAAAAGGAAAAGAATTTTCATGTTTTGAGAAGAGATTTGATGTTTTAAAAAGTAAAGGATGGTGTGAATGTTATTTCTGTCACGGAATTATAAGTATCATTCTTTTCTTCTCTTTGTCTGGGGCTACCATGTGATCGATCATCAACACAAAAAGAATATCAAAAACTGTAATATTCACGCCATTTTCTTTCTTCTTGCTTTCCCAGCGAGTCCACATGCTATAAATGTCAAGAAACACTGTTTACTCAAGTGGATCAACTAAGCTATATTTATATCTATATATAAATTTCCAACTTTGAATTTCTTCAATTTTTAACTATTTTTAATTAAATTATTTTTAACCACTTTCTTCACAGGCGTCTATAATGTTGGACTCCTTTTAGTTCATCTCATAAGACATATGATTTATAATAATAATTTTAATTAAAAAATTTGACCAAAGGAAAGAACTAAATTATAATAGTTTGACATATGCTACCAATATTAATAATTGAAAATATAATAAATATGTTTTTTGGAAAATTTTGTCAACATCGAAATTCGATTCATGATGGTATATTATTAAAGTACTTGGTATTTATAAATTTGAAAAGATATTTTATATGCTCTTTAAATTGATAATTGTAATCTTTTTAATATTTTAAAAATTAAAAATATATTATATTTTAAAATAAATTATTAACCTTAATATTTAATATAAATTTAATGGTAATAATTGTTAGTATAAAATGTCAGTTAATTTACAGGCCCCGTAAAAAATTACCTACTTAGATCACCCAATTACTACCTGATTTAGGATTCAACTGATTGGGCCTATCAATGCAAAATGAACTGCAACAAAGGGCCATTAAGTTTGTTGTATCTCTAGTATGGGCCTTTAACTGTATGCCAGAATCTTTGGGCTCAGTCTTTGGTGGGCCCAATTATGACCAAAAATATATTCTCCGCCTCCTCCTGTATCTACAACTAGAACAAGTTTCTCCCAAACTCAAATTAGGGTTTCTTCCTCTATATATAAACAGCTTCACCTTCTCCACAATCGTAACAACCTTGTGTTCTCTCCTAACCTCAACTTAGGGTTTCGTCCTCTTTTCTATTGTTATCGCATTTTCTCTTTTTTGTCAGAATTAGCCGTTCGAAACACCTAGCGGACACTCTGCTGCATATCAATATGCTCTGTTCGTTGATTTTCTGAGTCTAATTTGCTTTTCGTGTCTCTCTGTTTGAAATTTTTATTCATTTGAATTTTCTTTTAGTGTATGAAATTTGCATGTGAGAATGTTTCAACTAAGTTTTAAATACCCCGATTTTCTTTTGTTTTACTTGAGGGCCTTGAAGTTTCAAGGTAGAGCTTTGATTTTTTTAAAAACTGAAATTAAGTTAGTGACGATTAAGCATTGGAATCACATTGTGCATGTTGATGTTTTGAGATGGAAGTGATGATTTTTTCCCCAGATGATCGACGCTGAACATACTGTGCGATTTTTCTCTTTTGAGAAACCAAGCCAATAAGTCTGATCCATCTCTCCATATGTTAACAACATTGCCAATTATTTCTTGTCCCTTGCAAGTATGCGATTCCGATTATACTAAATATTTCGCCGGTGCTCGTGCAAGTATATCATTTTTTTTTATTAGAAAAATAAAAGAATTGATTTTTAAATTTTAAAACAAAATTTGGGCTAAAAGGGTTGCAAATTACTTTTCAATTCATAACGTTTAGCGTCGGTGGTGACTGTGTTCGTTTTTATGAATTCTCCTACTCTTATTGAGAATTTTATTACGATTTGGTATAATTTTAGTTTCTTAATTATTTATTCGAATTCTGTCTTAACTTTTTTAAATAATTATATTTATTAATTTGCTTGTTCTTATCTTTTAATAAGATTCTCATTTTTAAATGTGAATGACAGTTTTATGTATTACGTAAAATATGACATTTATATTCAGTTTGAGTCGTTTCTATTGAGGTTTATTTTCGGGGATTTGAGAATGGATTTGTGTAAATTTTGATTTTTTATTTTTTTTTTAAAAAGAGAATTCAAGAATACTAAATACCAAAACGATAAATTTAATACAAATAAAATATTATTGAAAATCTAAATTATATATCAATTATAAAAAAAACCGATAAAAAAAAGTATATTTAGAATTGAACGTGACCAGAACCTGGATGAATAATAGATTAAATACACGAAAGGCAAAATGATTAGTTTTCAAGACACTCTTCCAAGTTCTAGTAGAAGATTTCCAGCTGCTGGAGGTTTAATGGAGAAGTATTAAAGCAATTCATTTGGTTTATAGAATGCGTAATGAACTTTATAAATTGGGGAAACTATCCATTGATAAAAAAAATAGGACTTGAATGCAAACAAATCTATTATAAAATATTAGAATCAAGGTGTGCACTGTTTAGGATTCAATTACAATATATGGAATTTTAGTCTTGCATAAAAAATATGAAAATTTTCGTACGATATTTAGTCTTAAAATTTTCAACTACAACGGACAATTCTAATTGTGTCTTTGATCAACGTTCTTATCAAACTTACATTCCTGTTTCAGTCATGTCTAGTAAACTAGTATTCCTTCGTTTCCTTCTTTCAATCAATAAGAATCTATTATCTGAATAAAGATAACATAAAAGAAAAATTCTAACTATACTGCAACCAGTCCTTCAAGGCATTATGTCATGAAAGAATTGAGTGTTTCATTGCAATAAGAGATACAATCGGCAAGGACTCTCTTGTATCTGAGCCTCCATTGGACAGCTAATTTCCACCTGTTCATGGACCTTCTTGCTTTTCTAGAAAAAAATATATCATTAAAACTATGCGCATCCTTCATATTATGAGCTTCTAAGAAGCTATAAATCTCATCCCTGAAAGACATTAGTTTTGTGATGTCCATGGAATCTTGACTATAAACCATTGCATTCAGGAGCATAGTGTCTTCATCGACAGATGTTGGCAGATTCTTTAAGACAGCATCACAAGTTTTTGATAACCATTTCACAATAAAAATTTCATTGTCTGCAGACAGTTGAGAACCAGAATATGCAAGATGTCCTACATACCTCCTCTTATTTTGAGGGGTTGCCCACAACCGCAACGCAGCTAGTAGTGCAAAGGAAGGCTTCCCATCATGATGAATGTAGAGTGATTCCTTAGACCATGAAGTGGAAGAATATATAGCAGGGTCCAAAGGGATAAAAATTTTGTCATTTGGATTTTCTTGTAAGAGAAACCCATAGTGCTCAAGAAGCTCCAAATTTGTGTAAGTTCCATAGCATAGTAGAACCTGGTGTAAACATGGAAACTTGTAATCCCGTATTTTCTAAACAATGGAATGAAGATAGTGAAAACGGCCATGGTAGGGATGCCACCTCGAAGTTTTATGAAGTAGGAAATAAAAAATCATTCAAATGAAAAAAAAAAGGAGGCTTTATGAAGTAGGAAGTAGAAAATATCAGTCCCTGCAAAATTTGATAATCTACATTCAGGAGACCAGCAACAATTAATGCTTTGTTTCTAGAATTTTAGTACGAGGTGAGATTTAAGATAAATTATATTAATTGGAAAAAGAAATCAGTAACATTCACTTCCATATTTGGATATGAATATCAAACATCTGTTATATTTACTGCTCCATATCCTATATATAAGCATGTCTTTAAAATATGGAGCTACTATCTTGTGAAGGGGCCTTGTGTATTACGTTAAACTAGTTACTCAGCCTAGTGGGAAATCATCAATTATTTGGCTCAAGGCCTTCCTCAGGCAAAAGGCTTTGTAGACAATACCAGCTATAACCTGACTTGCACCCTGCCATGGTAAAAGAGCAGTTAGCCAAGAGTAATTTATAAGTCTCTGCCAAGAGTTGTCACTCATGACATACCCAAACCTTGGAATAAGGTAGCCTGCCCTCCCCATAAACTTTTCTTCACCAAGAAAAGATGCCATCAAGCATCACTGCTTCAAAACGCTATCCTAACCAAATAGATACAAACATCACATTTTACGTCCACAGAATAAATTTGACCCAAGGACAAGCAATCCAAACAAGATAAAGAAAAATGACTCTTACTCTACCTGCTACAGTACAGCCTAGAATACAGTCAATCAGATTAAATATTAATTCACGTTTGATCACACTTGGAAACTAATGCAAATAATGTCATTCAAAAAAGTTATTAGACTTAAAAAAAAGTTTAAGTAAAAAAAATGAAAAGATGGAAAATAAAGATAAATTTTAAGTACATAAAACAAAGGCAGAAAGCAAACAGACACAATTGTGTAATACCTGATCTCCTTTCTTGTAATGTGCCCTGGCATAAAAGCAATATGCATTGACATCTTCCTCAAACCCGCCATCTGTTAATCTCTGAGAATGAGAATCAAGTTGTTCTGCATCTATTGCTATATTCTCGTCTTCATTTGATATGACAGTATCATGGATGGAAGAGTTAGATAGCAAATGCTCTACACCCTCAATACCAGATGGCTCTGCTCCAGGGGCATCATAATTAAACAAGTCACCCACAGGGCATAAACACCCAGCTTCATCCCATGGTATATGCAACGTCCGAGAAGATATCTAATTTTTTAAAGTTTAAATGAGACTATATGATAAAGTGAGCTGTGATTTACCCGACAACTAAAATGCATATGCCGTGTAATACATGAAGGCAGAAGCTGATGTATCAATCAATAAATATTAATCAATATTCAGTAAAACTTGCTGGTTTTTCTTATTGTTTAAATAATTTAATAAAAAGTAGCACAACTTAAAATAGATTAGTCAAAATAAATCTGCTGCAATTTCATTGACGTAAATACAAGTTCAGACAAGCAAACGTTTGGTTTCTATTATTTTAATTAAATTAAATAAATAAAATGAAAGATGTTTGTCCATGTATGATACTGTGTAGGAAAAGCAAATTGAATATTTGTAGATAAAATAGTTTTAGCATGCATAGCTTCCCCACCCCAAACTAAAGGCCAGGTTTCTAATCAACTAACCGTTGCAGCAGCCCAAACCCAAGCCTTAAATGTTAAAAGCTGGGGCTTAAACATGAGATCTTCCATCAAAGGATGAGCTTCTTTCCACTCTGATTTGGCTTTTATTATAGCTTTCTCTGTGACCCATAGAGCCTCATCCACCTGCTAAGCAAAACATACATATGATTTATTGCATAAAGTACTAATGAAACACTGATAAATATCATTAGCTGGGATGCTATAATCTAACCTAACAAGATAAAATAAAATTTCTAATAGAAACTGAACTTGCAGAGCACGCTTCTCAAATTCACCAAATGTGGCTAGTATGTCATAAGTGTTCGGCAAATGCACTAGGTAGGGATGCCACCTCGAAGTTTTTCCTTTACCCATTTCATACAACAAGCAAACAATCAATATCTGCATTACACACAAGCTTAGAAGTAAGTATAAAAGAATCAATTAAAAGGAAAAATATACATGAATAACACAACAACAATGATGAAACCCTATCCAAACAGCTGTCTTCAGAGCCTAGTTCAACCACGCATACAATAATTTTCTCAAAAATGATTAGGCTTGGTTCAATAACCAACTAAAGATAATAAAACTAACATCTTTAGCACATTTTCACAAATTAAATTACAGGAAAAACAGTTTCAATTTAGCAATGTAAAGAAAACTAGCAACATAACTATCACACTTAAGCAATACAGTTAAGAAATAAACCTGAGCTGAGGACAGAGAAGAGTGCCTATTCACAGCAACACAGAGCTTTTTATCTTCCATAACATTCTCCCTTGTCATTAAAGCAGATTTTGGAACTCTCAGAATAATTTCTCCCCTCTTAAGTCCTCTCACAGCACCCAAACCTCTCCTACAGCATTCTCCAAATAATACACGAAAATGGGTTAGAACGTATTAACAGAAACACGTAAAAAGCATGAATATTTACAATACTATCATAAGTTTGATTGATTACCCAGGAAAACACGTGATGGGCAAGGGGGAATAGTCACAGTGTAACAAAATTGTGATTAGAATAACAAAGAAAATAAATTAAATGCAAACATTTTATTAGCTATGATGGAGAAGAAACATTGAAAGAGTTGTGAGTACCCTCCAGAGTGAGGAAAATGAGAGACAGATAGAGAAGAACCCAAACAGGAGGAAAGAGAGTGTCGATGTTGGCTAGTGGTTGATGAGTCTGATATTCCAAGCTGTGCTGCCCATGTTAAGAAGCTTTCAAGTCTTTGTTGTTCCTGCTCCATCTTCTTCTGACAAAATCGTTAACCTAGTTCTTCCAGAACCTTGAAGCTAAAAATGTTCAAGGTTGTAACTTCCATGCGATCCCTGTTTTTCACTTTATTTTTACTGTCCGGGCCCAAACTCAATAATCAACATTATTAACACTAAAATAATAAAATGTTTTCTTGTAACCCGTTTTCTAGTAACTTTTTTATCATGTAATATTTTTCATAATTGATTATATTACAATAACTCATTTTGAACTAATTAAATAATAAAAATTTAAAATAATATTAATGTATATTTTATGTTTTTTAATATCTTTTTTTAATTTTTAATTAGTACTCTCTGCTTTGCAAGTTTTGTTTTTTTAGGCTTTTGGGCCTATCTAAACCTCTTCGCAAAAGAACAGTCCATGTATGATTTCCTTCAGATGGGCTCTGGCACATAAGACAGTTGAATACATAGTGGGCTCACTATTGTTAGCTCATAAATGGACTTTTGTTTTTATGCATAAGAGTAATATTACGACAAAGTCATATGAAAACAAGCACAAGAGAACCATGCCTTTGAGCATACAAAAATACGATGAAAGGCTAAGCTGAATATAGTTGTCTTAATGAGTGGTGATCCCTTGGAAGTTTTCAGTGAAGACTACATCCATCAAAACTCATCTCACTCATCCCAAAGTTTTTAAGTTGAAAATGAATAGGTAGAAATTTGGGAGGTGAAAATTTAGAAAGAAAATGGTTTTAACATTTTGCAACGCTATGAAAATGTGGATAAGTTGAGAATGCATTTCAATTATGTTACTCTTTTTTATAGCCAATTAGGTGTAGTATTAATTATTTAAAACGATTTAAATATATGATTATGATTAAATTTAATTTTAATCTTTTAAAATTATTTTGTTTATTTTAATTTTTTTATTATTAAATTATTCATTTTAGTTCATGAGATAGTTAGCATTTAGCATTTTAGTCTTTAAGATATTTAAAATGTTATGTTAATTCCTAATTTTCTATTTCATCAGACTTTTTAGTCTCTAATCTTAGATGTTGTTAACAAACAGTAACAGAATGTTAAACTTTCACATTAAGTGTCATGTCAGAAGCTTAATTGACAAAAATGATGTCATTTTAAGTGAGTAAGCAAGTGAACGTAGGCAAACAGTCAATGTCATTCTAAAAAATTTAAAATGTGCCCTAATTGCTTAAACATTTCAGCATATGTTATAAATTGTGCGGCTCTAGTCCTTCTACTGTTAGGGTTCTTCTTTTTACTGTTACTAGGATTGAAATTGATTCGATCATGATGAATGCCCTCATAGATATATATGCAAAGTGTGGGTATTTGCAATATGCTAAAAGTGTTTTTGATCGAATGCATGATAAAAATGTTATTTATTGGATTTGTATAGTTAATGCGTACGTTAATCATGAGCTTATTAATAATGCTCTAGAAATTTTTAATCAAATGACAATGAAGAATGTGGTTTCTTGGAATTCAATAATTTGGTGTCATGTTCAAGAAGGACGGTGTCATGGACATATTCTTTGGGATGCTTGAGAAGAATATAGTGTCATGGAATCTTATTATTAGAGTACTTGCTCTGCAAGGTTTTGAAGAATAAATAAACTATTAAGATGTTGAGAAGATACAAGCTAGTAGGCTCTATCTTGATGAGATTACCTTTACAAGATTACTCTCTACTTGTAGTCACAGTGGTCTTATGAACATGTGGCAGCATTACTTTGATATAATGAGTTTTGCTTTTGTGGGATTTCTACTGATATTGCACAAAATTTAGGGTTATGTTACTCATCTAAGTAATAGAAAATGACTCAAAATGAATTTAGAAGAAGATAGTTATCAATTCCTCTATGTGATTATTCTTCTTTCCAATATAACAAACTTTAATTTCAAATTTTACAGTATCAAACACAACTATGAAGACCAATTTCGTTGAATTTTGCAAAAAAATTTAGGATTCTTCTCAAACAGAAAAGGAGAGATGTGTTGATATGTTTGGGCAATTAGGATACTTTACAATATCTTGCAACAATATCGTTTCTACCAACTGTTTGGTCACATTCACTTCATCATTCATTTAAAACGAAGTCATTTTTGTCAACTAAACTTTTAACATGATACTTAACGTGACAATTTAACATTCTATTGCTGTTTATCAAAAGTGTTTGAGATTAGAGACTAAAAGGCCTAACAAATCTGGAAGTCAGAGACTAACTTGATATTTTAAATATTTTAAGGATTAAAATGCTGGACGCTAGTTATCTCAAGAATTAAGATGAGAATTTAGTCATTTATTTTAATTTTAAAAAAATATCCTTTTAAACATGTATCTAAACACATTACATTAACAATCATTTAAAAATGATAAAATTAAAAATAAAACAAAACATTGGCCTATGCAGATCTCGAAGCTACAACTTTCGCGTTATTAGCACGACGCTCTAACCAACTGAGCTAATAGGCCATTTGCATCTATAAAATTTAAATTCAGAACTATAGTTTATTAATGCCTTAATCAATTGAACTTATTTAAAAAACTTAAAAATAAAACAAAATATAAATATTGGCCCATGCAGGTCTCGAACCTGTAACCAACTGAGCTAATAGGCCATTTGTGTCTATAAAATTTAAATTCAGAACTATAGTTTATTGATGCCTTAATCAATTAAACTTATTTAAAAAAATTAAAAATAAAACAAAATATAAATATTGGCCCATGCAGGTCTCGAACCTGCGACCTTCGCGTTATTAGCACGACGCTCTAACCAACTGAGCTAATAGGCCATTTGCGTCTATAAAATTTAAATTTAGAACTATAGTTTATTGATGCCTTAATCAATTGAACTTATTTAAAAAACTTAAAAATAAAACAAAATATAAATATTGGCCCATGCAGGTCTCGAACCTGTAAACAACTGAGCTAATAGGCCATTTGTGTCTATAAAATTTAAATTCAGAACTATAGTTTATTGATGTCTTAATCAATTAAACTTATTTAAAAAAATTAAAAATAAAACAAAATATAAATATTGGCCCATGCAGGTCTCGAACCTGCGACCTTCGCGTTATTAGCACGACGCTCTAACCAACTGAGCTGATAGGCCATTTATGTTTATAAAATTTAAATTTGGAACTATAGTTTATTGATGCCTTAATCAATTAAACTTATTTAAAAAAATTAAAAATAAAACAAAATATAAATATTGGCCCATGCAGGTCTCGAACCTGCGACTTTCGCGTTATTAGCACGACGCTCTAACCAACTGAGCTAATAGGCCATTTGTGTCTATAAAATTTAAATTTAGAACTATAGTTTATGGATGCCTTAATCAATTGAACTTGTTTCAAAGTGACTTTCATGTTATTAACACAACACTCTAACCAATTGAATTAATAGGCCATTTATATTTAAAAAATTTAAAGTTAAAACTACAATTTACTACTGCCCTAATCAATTGAACTTGTTTAAAAAAATTAAAAAATTAGCCCATACAAGTTTTAAACCTACGACCTTTGTATTATTAATAAGATGTTCTAACTAACTAAGCTAATAGACATTTTTGTCTAAAAAATTTAAATTTAAAACTATATTTTATTAATGCCCTAGTCAATTGATCTCACTTAAAATTGACTCCGTCAAATAAGTCACGTAGAATTTATATTTATTTTCAATTAAAATAGTAACAATAAATGAAGAAAATTTGGCTAACTCCGAATAATTCATAACTCACATTAAAATATACATTAGACTAATAATTTTTTACAAGATAAAATTTTAAATTCTGTCACCTATAACTTTTATACAGATAAAATTATAAACTTTCATCTTTATAATTTTTAAACAACAAAAATTATAAATTTGTTCTTAGTACACATTTACCCAATTTTTTTAACAAACTCAAAGAAGTGTGTTATAAAAAATAAACATAAAATAATCTTTTTATTTATAATCTTTTTCTGTAATTTTTTAAAAAAAATTTTCGATACTAGAGTTAAATAAATAATCCACCTAAACCCAGGAACCTACACAAGCATCACTTGTTTTAAATGATAGTCACATAAATGTCACACTCTGTACCTCAATGTCATCATATATTTTTTTAAGTTTGATTCTTGTTATTTTGTTTTTTATTTTTTTATATTTAATGGACATATATTTTTGCTTTTTTGGCAACATAGTACTGTTCATCTAAAGCCAAAGATGTAGGGTATGCATCCTATAGCTTGTGGAATGATTTGAAGATATAAAATCTTACCTCCCCCAGGATTCAACTCCAACATTAGAGAACTTACGGTTTTCTCGTAATTCTTGCCAAAAAGAAAAGCCAAAAGCCACCGTGTTGATAAGTTTAGACATGGATACGTGAATTTTAGGCATAGTATGAATGCTAACCTTCTTACGTATATAATACACAGTGAGAAGAATTGATAATGTTTCTATGTTGGTTTGGGTGTAGACACGCTTGGTAGAGTATGTACACGTTAACTTGTCATTAATTGAATTCCCCATAAATTGCATGTATCCCTGTATTATCATAATTAATTCCATTTGCTTGCTTCCTCTCTCGTTAACGTTCATGCATTAATCAAATATAGCTAACCAAAAGAAATAAAGTTCAAAATCCCAAGATTAGACATAAATAGGAAATGAATACAATAGGACTAATAATTCTTATAAACTGAAACGAAATACATAGGAGATAAAATGGAATCAATTAAGTTTTAAGGAATAAAGTAGGTAAAATATCCTTAATAAATTATCAACAAAACTCAACACCGTAGATTGCTGAATTTTTTATGGTAGGAAATCAATTCTTGAAGGGGTGTGTGAAAAAAAAAAAAAAACTTTGAAAAACCTTAGTGTACACAAATTAATTTTTAAAATGTTTATTGTATATTTTAAGATTTATTATTATATAAAACTGAAAAAATTAACCCAATTCAAGTTTCTTTATATTGAATTGAACTAAATAAATCTAAATTTTAAACTAAACTAGTTGTACAGGATAAATAAAAAACAATAAAATTAAATCGATTTGATAAACTTGTTTTGAAGATTAATCTAATTTAATTGACGTACCAACCCAAAAAACAATTGAAAAGAGATGCCAATCTCATCAACATAACAGTATTTTGACAAAGAACCAATGAATTAAAAACATAAGAAAAAATCAGCATGCTAACCTAACAAACGTCCCCCACTGCATTTCTTTATTGGAATTTAGACCTGTTTTGACGTACCCTTTTCCCTCTCTCTCTCTCTCTCCCCAATACAAATAAAAATTGCTGAGTTTTGACTATTTTAATTAATGATGACTAGCAAAGTAACCAACCTGGAGTCTGAATTCTGAACACTCAAAGCTTTTACCTACCTTTTCCCATTAAATAATGGGTAATGAGATCTGAGTAAAAAACGCTTCCCACTAACACTTAAGATTAGGTTGATTAATTAATTACAAAAATATTAAAATATCAAATTCTTTAATATTAAAATTGACCCTACTAATACAATATCAGAAGTAGTTATAGTTAACAGTTAACACATTGCCAGGTGTCAAGGGACCTGCACCCAGACCTATAAACAGAAAGTACCTCCTCAGTAAAATAGTCAAATAATCCGATGTGATGAGATCCACACAAGGTGCAAATTGACTACGTGTCAAATAATGGGTTGGACTCAACGTTTGTGCATTTTGATAAATTCATATTCATTCAACTTTCCACTACGTTCAGTGTAGGGTGCAATGCAAACCGACCAAGGCCCACTGGGCCCACCAAGCCCAGTTTAGAATTAAAAAAGGGCAAAAACTCCATAATTGGCAACCAGGTAGGTCCCACACTCTTACGCCAAACCAATCCCATGATCCGGTGGAATAAGTGTATCACCTGGTCGATCAATGAGAGCACGCCACGTGCCCGTCCCCACCTCACCGTTTCGACACCGCTTTGTAACATACGATAACGTTATCCTCCTCTGATTGGGTGATCCGATCCACGTGTTGTCCGCGTTGGATTTCGCTTTTTCATGCGCACTTTCCGCACCTGCCGTCATTCTTGGGTCCTGTCCATTCACTTTTCCGGATCCGGTTTCAAAACTCTACCCACTATCCATTTTACTCAATAATATTTTTTTATTGATTTATTTATTTTTGTACTATTTAATGCTTTTAAAAGTAATAAATATTTAAATTTAAGTTTCAGTAATTATAATTATATTATATATTTTAAGAGAGAAATTTTTATTCATCCAACTAAAGTAAAAAATTAATGTCAAATCTCATTATATTCACATATGTAAGATCAAGCTATATGTTTAAATTTTATGGTATATAATTTTTTTTATTAATAATAATTATAGAATGTAAATAAAAATTAATATTGAATTCTTTAAATTTAAAGACGTTTTACTGTCATTATTTTTATATAAAAATAAATAAATATGAGATGCTATAATATTTATTTGAATTTAATGATATAACATTAAGTTGAATAACATAATATTAAAATATTTTATTTAAATTAAGTTTCTTTTATGCCAACCCCATTATAAAATAATTCGGATATGTAGTTGGGTAAACCCGATCCATTGTGAAGCAGCTAACACTGAAATGAGACAGAAGGCTCCAAAGTCTGAACTCTACTACAAGCGTGTGAAACTCAGAACCAGACATTGGTGACAAGAGAGAGACCTGAAATCCCGTAAACGCTGCTAAGAGAATTTGGTGATAAAAAGGGACATTATTTAAATTAAACAAAAAGACAAAGGAAAATAATAAATAGTATTAAGGTCTGGAAGAGTGGAGAGTTTGGTGGGTCAGTGTGTGAGGTAAAGAAATTGTTCTCAGTGGACGTAGTGTTTTGCTCCATGATGTTGATGCGTTGAAGCATATGTTCAATTAATGGGAAGCTCTTGTGAGTGGGTCAAGCCAACAGGTGTGCTTCTTGTTTCTTCTTTCTTACATGCTATTAATCTTAGTGGTTGGATTTTCGTGTAGGTTAGGGAAGATACTTAGGTAAGGATAGCTAACTTTGTAGTTTAATGCCGTTTACTAATTGGGTTCTGGAATGAATGACAAGTCGTAGCAAACACAACCTGTTAATTCATACTTTCTCTGGTCATAACTACAAGCAACTCTTTGTTCTTTTAATTTAGAGGGGTTGTTTGGATTTCGATGCCCATTGTGAGTTTCTTGTTATATCTGATTGATATGGTTCTTTTTTTGTTTTAGGTTCATGTTACTGTGGTACTGAATGTGATGCTTGTTTTGGTTGAATCACAGATAGCTTTGGTAGAAGTTAAGAACTAAGAACAACCCTTCCACCTGCTGGAACTTAGGATTCATTGGAGAAAAGCCAGCTTTTTTTGCATGATTTGCCTGTGTTTTCAACTGGGTTTGTTTTATTGAAGGGAGTTTAATAGTTCTCTGAAGGATTATATTTGAGGAATAAGGTCAACAAGCAGGTTGTAAGAACCCAAGAGTTTAATCATGTCTGTGACGTTATTGTGGGTTGTTACCGCCCCGGGCTTTGAGGTTTCCCATTCCACTGGGTTACTTGATTCTATTCGAGATGTGAAGTTCTTTGATTCTACAAAGTTTGTATCCCGTGAGCCAATTAGAGCAAAGAAAGATAAGCAAAAGAGATGGAGATTTTGCTCTTTGAGTGAAAATATGAAGTATGCATGTGTTGGTCAGTCTGGCTTAGAAAGTACAAGCAACTTCCGTATGCTGTCAAATGTGCTTGCAAACCCTGCTGCAGGAGAAGTGGCTGTTTCATCAGAGCAGAAGGTCTATGATGTGGTGCTGAAGCAGGCATCTTTGGTTAAGAGGAAGCTGAGCTCTGCAGGTGAACTTGATGCAAAGCCAGATATTGCTCTGCCGGGGAATTTGAGCTTGTTGAGTGAAGCATATGACCGTTGTGGAGAAGTTTGTGCAGAATACGCCAAAACATTTTACCTGGGTTAGCTTTCTCTTATCCTTCCTTCAAGTGAGGATGTTAACTTTAGAGTTTAGATTTCATTTGGGTTTGTAGCATGATTTGAGTCCATTTACATGGTATTTTGTCCTCCAGGAACTCTTCTAATGACTCCTGAAAGGCGAAGAGCTATCTGGGCAATATATGGTGAGTGATCATTCTCATTTGGTTAGGATCTCTTTCTCTGTCTCTAGAGTCTAGATTCTCCTTTTTTTTTCCCTAGTAATGTCTCAATTAATAATCAAAATGAAAACTAAGATATATTGAGAGCTAATGTAACAACAGAATGTTTTGTTTTTACAATAAACACTGATGGTTTATGACTACTCATTAGGGTCAGTATATAGTACTCCATATCCAATTGTAGTATATAACTCAGCAAAGTTAAATGCATAAGGACCTTATTTTGGTTTCTAGAAAGCATACTGACTAAAATCAAATTGTTTGTTTTGTAACTGTCAGGCATGTTTATGTTAAAACAAAAAAGTTCAGCTAGTGGACCAGTTTTGCTATAGGGATCTTCAGGCTTGAAAATCTTGGTTTTAGATTGAAATCTAGTCTGATTTTATGCATACAAAGGTTTTATTGAGTCCTCCAAAATTGAGAAATCCATGTCATTGTTCTCTCTAGGCTTCAAAAGAAACTTGTAGGAATGTCTACTCCCTAAATGATTACCAAAATCATCTCAGGAAAATGTATCTTCCCAAATATGTAAATGAGAACTTAATCATCTTATCTAAATTATGAATTACAAAACTTCCAAACAAAGCAATGAATTTTGATCTTTCACCTTTGTATAATAAAATTGGAAAAACGAAGTTTTATAATTCTAAACTGAATCTGATCCATTGCTCAAAATGATAGACACTTACAGCTGTTACAATCTCTGACAACCATTTTGATATCGGAAGTTGGAAAGGTAAAGTAAGCTGTGGTGACGCTTATGGATTCATAGGTTGAGGAAAATCTGATTAATTTATGCTTTATTGTATCATGGTACTGCATATCTTTGGCTAGCTGATTGTGAAAGGATGTTGTTTCAAGGAAGACTAATTAACCTGATTGGATCTCAAATGCCTTATGTTGCTCCTGCTTTTTCAGTGTGGTGTAGGAGAACAGATGAACTTGTTGATGGCCCTAATGCTTCCCATATTACACCATTTGCTTTGGATAGGTGGGAATCGAGATTGGAAGAACTTTTCCAAGGTCGTCCGTTTGATATGCTTGATGCTTCTTTATCAGATACAGTTTCCAAATTTCCTGTTGATATCCAGGTATGAGTCCATTTTGTTGACCAAATGAGATATTGGCTGGAAATTCATTAATTTATGTGTGTGCAAGTGTGCACGACTGTGCATGGTTTTTGATATCTAATTTAGATTGTGTCGAAGTTTTAATGCAGCCTGAGGTGAAGGAATTGTTCTTTTATAATACACATCAACTCCCTTAGATTATTATCTTCCATTCAGATTGTGTCCTGAAGTTTCTCATTATACTTTCATCCAAATCAGAGTTCCTTACTCTATATGATACTAATCTTTGGGGAAGGAATTAATATAGGTTGCACTTTACCTGTACAGTATGCCTGATCCATTTAATAAGCCAAGTGGTTATTAAGTAGAGCCAGAGAGTGATCAAAACACCCTGAATTTATTATTAGTTTTGTGTGAAGCACTCTCTGAATTTTTCTGAAAAATATTTGCCTTTTTAATAAATATCTTTCAAACCAGCCAAGGTTCTTGTTGTGCCCATATCATGATTTTGTGAAACCTTCAATTATGTTTTGTTACTTTATAATAAGCATGTGAATTTAATATACTCACCTTCAGTGTTAGAGGATTTACTTTTCAATTCTTTTATTTGTGTCAATACAGCCATTTAAAGATATGATAGAAGGAATGAGAATGGATCTTTGGAAATCAAGATACAAAAACTTTGATGAATTATATCTCTACTGCTACTATGTTGCTGGGACTGTTGGTTTAATGAGTGTTCCAGTCATGGGCATTTCACCGCATTCACCGGCCACAACAGAGAGTGTATACAATGCTGCCTTGGCCCTTGGAATTGCAAATCAGCTTACCAACATACTTAGAGATGTTGGAGAGGAGTAAGTTTCTTCAAGTCCAAAAGTTTTCTACTAATGTACATAACGGAATAAGTTTACTTCTCCCATTATTGCTGTTGTGGTATTGTCATATCGAATTGAAATATCCATTACTTGATTCCAAAATATTAGAAGCGTATCTCCTCATTGAGACCCAGGATCCTGGATTGTATTGTCTCACCAAAAAAGAAAAACTTGAGATGTATATAAAAGCAGTGCTTCATATTAATGTGCAAGTTAAGTGAATCTGTTAAGTTACTTTGTTCTGGACTTAACCAAAACTTGAATGAGTTTCTTTCATTGTTAATACATTAACTGCCATTCATGCTAGGTCTTTATTCAATCTCAGCTCCATAAAACTTCAATATGGTTCTACCCTATTTGTTGGGATTTCCAAACTGTGACATCTCACTTGGTTGTCTAGAGAAAAGAAAACATGGGGTGCTGAAAATGAAAAATAACAGTGAATTGATATTAGAATATGCTATATATATATATATATATATATATATATAGTCCAGTTAGGTACTGGGTTTTGGTTCACTCTATTCTGAGATTCTAATGGACTGAAAATATCCATGTTCGCTTTTTCTGATACTGATTTCAAGAATAAGCCTGTATTTCATTTTGGTTCCACCCATATAACATATTCAATTTTCAACAGTGCAAGCAGAGGAAGAGTGTATCTACCACAAGATGAGTTGGCTCTAGCAGGGCTTTCTGATGATGACATATTTGCTGGCAAGGTGACAGACAAGTGGAGAAACTTCATGAAGAGCCAAATTAAAAGGGCAAGAATGTTTTTTGACAAGGCAGAAAAGGGAGTGATGGAGCTTAATGAAGCTAGCAGATGGCCGGTAAGAAATGCCAATATTTATCATTATACAAAACCTACATTTTAATATGAACAAGCTTGCAAATCTTTGTATCATGGTTTCTCACGCACATGTATTTAAAATCTGAATTTTTGTCCAAGAAATAAGGCTTTGCAGTCAGTATCAAGAAAAGTTATTTATTGGTTATTCTCTTACCTGTCTTATGATTTTATGGTGTGGAAAAATTTGTTGAATGGATACGTCATTGTACCTACTTTTTGATTTGCTATTATAATAACAATGTAATGTTGAATGTCAAATAAGAAATTTTAAATGTTTCTCAGTGCTTGTAAGCCATTGGTTTTTGAGGTTCACTCTTATGTGCTGAAGTAAGAACACACGTTTTTCACAATAAATAGGGATTGGGGTTCTTCATTCTTTTATCCGTTATTTAACTTTCGCATGTGAACATAAAAGGGTGTTGTGGTTCTTGTGGATGTTGCAGGTATGGGCAGCATTGCTATTGTATCGCCAGATATTGGATGAGATAGAAGCTAATGATTACAATAATTTCACCAGGAGGGCTTATGTGAGCAAAGCCAAGAAGTTACTTTCTTTGCCAATTGCCTATACTAAATCTATGGTTCCTCCAAGCAAGTTATCTCCTATAGTGAAGGCATAGATCCAACGCCATACAAAAGTTATGTAAAAAAATGGATAAGGAGGACCATAAAAAAAGGGAAAGCACAATTTGTACATGATGAAATAAGGCTTGTATTCATTTTCTAAATTTTAGTTAATATTGGATTTCGTATTCATATTTTTTTTTATCTTTTTAATTTGGGAAATCTGAGTTATGAATTATTTGGATACAGCCACATTTTGATAATTTATTGTTACCTTTATAACTGAAAAGAAATGTGAATTTTAAGTAACTTTGACTGAATTGATTTTAAATGAATTATTTAAAATTGACATTTCCTATATCTCAATCTCTCAATAATTAAAAAACAAAATAAAAATAAGTTAAAACAAAATAAATTAGATTAAATAATTTTAATAACAAATGGCCTATTAGCTCAGTTGGTTAGAGCATCGTGCTAATAACGCGAAGGTCGTAGGTTCGAGACCTGCATAGGCCAATTTTTATTCTTTTATTCTATTTGCTAACATAATATTCTTTGTTTATTTTTTCATTTTTCTTGCTAACATAATGTTCTTCCTAATATTAGTATGTGTTTGTTTAACTTCACTTTTAAACAATCTTAAATCTATGCTTAATTTGATATTAGTAGTTATAATTTTTTAATAATTTGTGTTTACATAATTTTTTTAACAGTTTATTTTTCAAGATTTTAACATGTTTCTAAAACTAGGCTTTTTACATTATTTGCTAGATTAAGAAGTTTAAATGCAAAATACTTGACTTACTATATGTTCTATCATTCGAGTCCTAAATATAGCAGTAATCTGAATTATTTTATTTATCTGCAAATGAGAACGCCACAAGTAGACCAAAACAAGGAAAAATTCCTGATTTCACAAACACATAACAGTACCCACTATGGTTTTTCTTAGACTGAAAAAACAGAAACTGTTGTTCATGAAATTTATTTTACAATTTATTAATTGAATTTATTTAAGCACAACTAGCTTAATATACATATACAAAGATATGTGAAAAGTAAAGGGGGATTAATTGTTTGGGGAAGAGTTGAGAAATGGAAATAGGATGACGTGGCAGAATATAGGGCGCGGATTAAGGAGAGCGACGCACGGAATTGATGTAATCTTGAAGTGCTTTGAGCTGTTCCTGGGAAGGGGGTGTTTGGTTGTTCTTGATGGATCTATGAACATCATACGTTGTTGATGCTAAGAACAAAAGCCTGTTTGCAAAGTGTTCGGTGTTAACAACAAACCATTTAACAGAGTTGATTAGAAATAGAATTGAATTGAAGCGAACAACGATTATAGGTACATACCCAGAAGCGAAAAGTACAATTTGGCTTGGAAACACGTGTTTGCCAAAGATCCTCATCGTTTTGTTTATTCTATCACTCCCTCACACGATGCTTCTCTGCCCTCTCTCCTAACTCCAATCACACTACACAAAATTTATTTCTGGTTATTATTACTTTCTTTTTGTTGATTATTACATTTTGTTTTATTTGTGTGTTTATTGAAACTTCTGGTTTGGGCCAAATAAGGACCCAATCCTAGGCCTTCAAAGGTCAACATTACCCTCCCCAACTTCTAATTTGCATGATGAAAACTTGAAAGTCAAACTAGTTATACTTTTTTTTTTTTTTTCACATGAGATGTAAAATGAGTGGAAGAAGGAGATAAGAAAAATGAGAAATATGATGGATGATGGATGCAATAAAAAATTAGAAAGGAAGAGAGAATGTAAATGAACATAAGAAATTAAAAATAAGTAAAAACTAAAATCTTAATTATAAAAAGAAGAAGAAGAAATAAATTGTCTTATTGTGTTTAATTTGCTTTTAAAGTTGCATTCCTTTTTTGATCCAATATCAGCCCTTAATTTATCCATTCCCTTAATTATTGTAAAGTCCGAAAATGGGACATACTAGGCCATTGGATCGATATATTTAACCCATATGCCTTTGCTTACTGAAACCCATAATAAGGTTGGTATCTAAGCCCATGTTTGTATGTAAGACTGGTTTTCTTCTAACTCCAAAAGAGGAGTTGCTCTTGCACTCCTTTTTTTTTTTTTTTACACTCATTAATATTTTTAAAAATACCCTTTATCGAAATAAAAAAAGTCCTCCTTCACAATATATGCATTTATATTGAAATCATATCACGTTCTATGTTCTCTGTGTTGTTTGGTTTAGTTTACTTCTCTTTGCATGATTCCCTTTTCTTTCATCTTTGCCTCATCACTTACTACAAATTCTCTTCGAAAATGACATAGACAAGTAGGAGGAAGCAATTAGAAGTCAAAAATGACTATTTTTGTGGTAATGTCAAACTTCTTGTGCAATTGATTCATTGGATTTTTAATACCACGTTGAATGACAAAAATCAAAGTCTTTCAAAAATTTATTTTGAAAATTTCTTGAGTGCACAGCTATTTTTTCAATGCCATGTTAAATGAGGGACCAAAGCACACACGTACATCAAAGAAGTCACAAGCATGCGATAACATGGCTTTGATGTGGATGAAGACAACTGTTTTTCAGAAAAGGATAAGGGAGAAGAAATGTTAAAGAAGGATATGAGTTGGGGGGGGGGGGGAAGGCCTTTTAGTTTGGATAGAAAAAAATTAAAGATAGTGTAATTAATAAAAAAATAATAATTTTTATGATGTCTTGAAGATTGATAGAGTATTATATATTACTTATACCTAAAATAATTATAATCGTTAATATTATATTAAATATATATAATATATACTAAAATTTGTGATTTATTTTCAAAAAATATAAATATTTTTAATTTTTAAAATGTTAAAATAATTATAATTATCAAATTAAAAAAATATAAAATATCATTTAAGAATCCACCCAGACATACCCAAGAAAATTAACGTATTTTCTTGCACACGAAGAACAAAGGAAGAGAAGTACGTAACCAGGCAAAAGAAGAATGTAAGCGTGTTATATTTTATTTCAAAATCACTCAAACATGAATTTATTTTAATATTATTTTCATTTTAAAATATAATTTAATGCTATTTTATTAAGTTTCGAAGCATGCATGTTAGTGTCACGGACTTTGTTGTTCTTTTGCAATTAGAACTACGGGATAAAATTAGTTTATGTTTAAATATATTAACTATTTTTTAAAATTAACATATATTATAATAATAGAACATCCCTCACGTAATATATTGTTAAACAGGGCATCGAATAATTAGTTCATATTATAAAATAATATAATATTTGGGGTTAATTCGGTCAAAGTATCACAAACTCCTTCAAATAATGTTTCTTTGTTTATAAAAAACATTAGTAAACTCTCCATTTATTACCGGATATTCACATCATAAAACCAATATAATATTTATCGTTCGTTAAGTGTAATAATCAACATGATTATTTACATAAATCATATATAACGATAATTTAATGATAATTACTTAATCCAGGATAAGTTTATAAAAATATTAAAAAACAAATTATACTTTACTTAATCTTTTACACTATGTTTGTGAATTTAAATTATATTTAACTTTTTTTTTTTGGTTTCATCCACTAAAATTTGCTGTCTAACGTGCAACGGTAAATGGACCAGGTAATTCATTTTGTTCGCTTTGATTTAAATATATATTTTTATTATAATAATTTTTATATAAAAAATAAATCCTTTATTTTAAAATAAATCCGAGTCGTTGATTGGATGTACCCAATGGCCTTACGAAAGTAGTTTTCCTTCGGCACACGAAATAGAAAATGTGCAGAAGTACGGGAAAAAGATATATACCATCTCCAACTTTTCAGCATCACTTGCACATTACAAAATAATAATAATAATAATAATAATAATAATGAACTTTCGTGTTGAATTAGACTAACCTGCACGCATTATGCTTACATGATTTCTATTATGTAATTTTTTTTTCATATTTATGTTTATATTTTGATTTTAAGTTTAGCTTTAATATGATAGTAACATTTAACATTATTTTTTTTATTTTAACCTTTACATAAAAATTTATTTAGAATCAATCTTTATAATTTATCAAAGTTAAAATAACATCAAATACAGAATAGTGGCTTTGGTGTCTCGTGCAATGATATGTTTTATTGCCGATAATAAAATAAAATTTTTATTTTATGTTGATCGTTTTAAAATCATTAAACTTTAATTCCATTTTAGTATAAATATTTTACTTCAAAATTTTAAATTTACACATTTTACTTTAAAATTTTGGACCAAGTTTTAAACAATGCATTTAATTATCCTCATGAATCAAAATTTTAGAATTCTAAAGATTCAATAAAGGATAAAAACAAGAGTAAAATGATATTTATTGAAATATAATATACTAGGATTACTTGGATATTCATAAAACTTAGAACAATAGCCCAAATTTATTTTAACCATTAGGGGCCACTTAACACACTGATAATAGAATCAAACTAGTTTTTTTAATATCACAGTGCATAATTTGAGATGGACAAATTAGCAAGAATGATGACAATCGTGTGGGAGAGGCGACAATGACAATAGTTGAAACTATTTGAAACACATTGAGAAATGCAAAATGATTACTAAGATAGAGAAATATTCAACTAAAATGAAGAACATGACCAAACCATGATTGAACTTGTTAAAAAGAATAACAAGATGAAGACAATTGACACAATAACAGAAACAATAGACTTAAAGAAAAAAATAATAATGAAAATAACGTAAAATTCTATATTTTAGGAGCTTAACGACAATATAGTGACAAAATAAGTCACACTGGAGGGTATCACTCTGATAATATGTTAAAATTCAAGTGTTTTAGATAATAAAGAGAACAAGAAAGATAAGAGAAATTGACTTTTATTCAAATATATTATAATGTATTGGAATGGTCTGTATGTTTATAAAACTTACACTACTAACTCACATTCATGATGTTTATGGAGAGGAATTTAATTAAGTATTTATTCAATAAATTTTTATTGCATAAATAATATATACTATGTAAATTTGATTATACAATTTATTGACATAAATTGAAATGAGTTTTTGAAAATTGTAAACTATTTAGTATTTATATAGGATATCTATAAATTCTTATAAACACATTATTATACTAATCATAGTTTTATCTAATTAAAATAAATAAATTATAATAAATAAAAATATGATAACTAATCTAAAATATATTAACAAAATGAAAACATTAATCCTAAAAACTAAATATAATTAAAATTCCATCA